AGTCTCACTAGCACACCAGCCCACACATGTCGGCATTTCACCCACAGGCTCAACGCTAGTGAGTTGTGTTATATCCCCTTCCCCTCCTCCCCCCTTCAAATCTAGTTTAAAGCTCTGTCTATGAGCCCTGCTAACTCTTGCCCCAGGAACCTTTTCCCGCTTTGAGACAGATGTACCCCATCTTTTGTCACCAAAGCTGGTGAAGTGTAAACTGATCCATGATTAAAAACCCCAAAGTCCTGCCTGTGACACCAGACTCTGAGCCAGGCATTGATCTGCTGGCTCTTTCTGTTTATTGCCTCAGCTGTCCCTGAAACTGGTGGAACAGAGAACACTACTTGTGCTCCAGATCCCTTAACCGGTTGTCCCAAGCTCTTGAAATCTCTCTTCATTGCTCTCAAACTACTTGTTGCAATGTCTTCACTGCCAACCTGCAAGACCATGAACGGGAAGTAGTCAGAGGGTTTAACTAGGGTAGGAAGTTTTCTCTGATTGTCCTTGACCCTGGCTCCTGGGAGGCAGCAGACTTCCCTGAGGAGTGGGTCTCGTCTACAAACAGGACCTTCCACTCCCTTCAGCAGTGAGTCCCCTATGACAAGGACCCGTCTGTCTTTCTTACTTGAAGACGTTTTTATGCGCCGCTTCCTCTGATTGAGCCTTGGAGGTGCCTCCGAGCCAGGCGAGCTGCCTTCTTGCTCTTTGTTCAGTTCCCCTTGCAGAACATCATACCTGTTTTGCAAGGGCACCTGGGAATATGGAGCAGTTACTAGGGGGGAGGTGAGCACGCCTGGCACGCTGGAAAGAAACACATTTCCATTCTTGCTGGTTTCTGTCCTCTAAGTCCACCCGTTTGCTATGGTCAGCCTGGCGTAGAGAGGCTAGGGAGCCCTTGGCCTCCCTTTCATGAGCTTGGTCTACCCGTTGGGCCTGCCACAGGGAACGGAGGACACGGCTCCAATGGTCCATCTCATTCTCACACTCCCTGATCGTTCTCAGCCTACTTCCCTCCTCCCTGAGCTCCACCGCTATGCGGAGGAGCTCCTCTACTTGGGCACACCTCCCACAGGCCTGCTCACTGCTGCCATCAGACATTGGCGTAAGAGCAGCTCGACACCTGAGTGGCAGCGTGCTCCCACCGTTGCTCTGTCTGGCAAGGTGCATCTGTCTGGGTGGGTGCATGGCTGAGGGAGGCCATGGCTCTCTGCCTGGCGGTAAACACTGCTCACCGGCTGCTGTGCCCGAACCTCAACACCCTTCCTGCTCGCCCTGCCTGCATGAACTGCCACACCACGCTCTTCTGCCACGCCACGTCCCCTTTGCCCGTCCTGTTCGTTCACCGCACGTCGCTGAACTCTGTGGGGGCTGCTTTTCTACCTGAGGGGCTTAACTGTCACTCCTGTCCCTGCTCACGGGGAGTCAGCGCTGACCGCCGTCGGGAGCTCACATTTCCCTCTCTGGGGTGGGGGCCGGGGCACACTCTCTCTCCCTGTGCTTTTTTGCCTTCACGCTTGGTTTTCGTTTTTCCCGCGGTTTAGCCACTTTTGTCACTTCAGCAAGGTCCCCCAGCATAATCCTCCGTGTGATCCTCCACTCTGGAGTCCCTCACCTCGGTGACTCAACTCAGTGACTTCAACCTCAGTGTCATAACTGCACGTGTCCTGCATTTTTGCTGCTTACAGGTGCCATTATTTCAACTCTGCTTCTCTGGATAAACTTTCAGTTTTATGGGCAATGAATCAAAGCATGTGGCAAACGTACCTGTAAAAATTCTCTCGTCAAACATCCTAGGAGGAAAGGGGGAAAAAAAAGAAATTAGAAACACATGCTTCTAATGACTGATTTTAGGTTTTATTAATGAACAGCATTAAAACAAGTCAAAATAGTCATTTTAGTAATTCCCTTAAAAAAAGGAATGAATTTTTCAGCTAAAGAAAAAAAAGAAAAACGCCTTTTAGCCTGTTGTGCAACCAAGCAATCCTACAGCATATGCTTTTTAACTAAGGCACCTTTAAATCCACTTATTAGTCATTCTCTTCAGTTAATTAACTTATTAAATGAGGCTGCTACAGGCTGGCTTTACCACAAGAGATGATGGGACTGAAGCAACTGTTGTTGGACCTTCACTTCACAACGTTGACCATCAAGCAGATGTCACCTGAAGACCTTATTTTGGTGTCACTCAGGAGAGCAGTGTGTTCAGGGGCATGTTCTGGGGCCTGATCCAGCTCAGTGCAGCACAAGCGCCACGGGACAAAGCAGCTCCTCCACTGGCTGGCATCTGGAAAGCCAATTCCTTTTGGGATGTCCTGTTGATGTCAGTGATTTTAGCCCCCTTGGGAGCCTTAGCTGGGATTTTTCTGAACCATAATTTCACACCTCTAGCAGGGACCAACATAAGTGCTGCAGGCAGGGACTGAATGAATAACTACATGATAAAGCAGATTTTCCTGACAGAGAAGTAAAGAGAGGTTGCACAGTGCAGAGATAACCAGGAAAGCGTCCTCTCCTCCTACTCCAGTGTAAACACTGACACCAAGGCACAATGCCCTGCCCATAGATGACACATCCTCATCATCGTATGTATAGGACGTCCATAAGGGATCACTGCAAAACAAGGTGGAGGGGAATCCCCACACAGCATGAATATGGATGTTCCTCCTCCCAGCCGGAGGCACTGCTTCCATCCACCAAATGCCATTGCAGGGTTGTGCTGCGATCGGAGGGTCCCCTTACCACCTCAGAACGCTTAGGGTGGCACTGACAATGCCTACATGGTTCTACAACAGGGTGGTGGGGCTCGGGGGTGACCGTGGTATGGTCACCTCACAAGAAATGGAAAGAGAGATGGAAAACAGAGGTTTGGAAGGGGAAATAAAATCCTTTACTTGTCTCTACACAATTGGTGTTCAGCTCGTTTCCATAAAAATGGGTAAAATGAGTTTTGGGTGCCAGAATAAACTCTTTAAGCACGGAGAGACCACAGCTTAAATGCTCAAGTCTCCCTTGCTACCCACCTTTTGATGACAAAATGGATGTTGTGCCTTTCCTCCAGTATCCGCTTGAGTTTAGGGACACCATAGGTGCAAGGTCTTTTGAAGGGGATTTTGTCCGGGATGCCAATGATTTCCACCGCCTCGGGGTCACACGCAATTTTCCGGTATGGGACAGGGACCATATGGTCTAACCCCAAGGCTTCAGCTGAAAGGTAAATGCACGGTTTTCATGTAAACATGCTCTTTTCCTTTTACAGATGGTAAAATGAAGGTGTAAAGCTTGAAATCATGCCAGAGAAAGCGCCTCCTGCCCTCTTCTCCTTTGCTTGTCCCACAAGGTGAGCCCTGGGAGCAGCTCACCCATGGGAGATGGGACAACGGGGAGACAAAGCAGCAGCGAGCACTGCTAACTGCGCTCTCCAAACCCCGCAAACACACCTGCCATGGCTCAAACCAGGGACGAGCTGGCCCATGTGCTGTCCCCATCCTCTCCCAGGACCACAGCAGGTTGCTGAGACATGTAACTGCCGTGTCACAGAGCAAGTACACAGTTTATAACACACAGAGCTCATCTATAGCCCATATCTAACTTGTGAGTTACCCACCACATATTTATAGCCCATGAATTACACAGCCTGACAAGGATGGTACAGGTGACAACCTCCAGTCCATTCCCAAGCAATTTCCTGAGCTCAGCTGCCCAAACACCCAGAACTAACCCAAAAGCACTGCCCATGGCAAGCAAAGCGCTAATCATGCCCCATAAGCTGTGCGGGTGGAAAAAAACCGGCTGCAATAAGGACAATCTTCTTTTTTTACCTGCCACATTAATTTAAAATGATCTCCTGCTCTGCTGGTGGTGTCTGGGTACTCTGACCTGGCATGCCATGCTTCAGACTGGGGCTGCTTTACAGCCCATTTATAAATTCCTCAATAGCATGGTGGGCTGCAAATGGAAATATTGACATAACCTTCAGCAGACAGCCAGAGCCTGGGAGTTGCTGGGCTAAATGTGTTTGGAAGAGAAGGGAGCTCTAGCATATGGCTTCTGCTGCTGTGTTAGGGAACAAGAATGATTGCTATATAATGATATGCAAACCACAAGCACTGCAGATGCATAATGGGATATTAACTCCTACTCACCATATCTGCTGTTAAACAGAATTTGCACGCACTCCCTAAGGGTGTTGATATCTTCAGTTTCTTTTATAAAACTGTCCCACTTATCTATCAAAACAAAATACAAGAAATAAGGTACTTCCATATGGTTCGTACACAGCAGATGCACTTTTCTCACGCAAAGTGCTGGGAAGCAGGAACAAAATTTTTCTTCTTTAAAAATAATGATTTCCCTCTTTCTGAGTGGATTCTACCAGGTTGGCATATAAGGTCTGGGCTTCCCTAGCCCCAGCCCCAGCCCCAGCCCCAAGCAGCCTCTGCAGCCATGCATGTGCAAAGCAGATTCCTAAGAAATGACCCCATAAAACTTCTCAACCCTGAAATGAAAGACCCTGCGGGACAGAGCAAGCTCAACCTGAAATGAACCTTTGAAAGGCATGGCCATTTTACAGAGGAGCTTTTTCCTCTCCTTCTCTTTCCTAACTTTCCCACTCTTTTTTTTTTTAACACAGACAGGCAAAGGTTTGGATGTAAACATGTCAGCATTTTTAAGTTGTATCTCCACTGGGTGGGGTGGAGGTAGGGAAATGGCAAAGTCTCCTCCCCATTGCTGAACCCCCTGGGCATCGCTGCAGAATCACACTGGGGTTAGTGGCTTGCAGTTATTTTGAAATAACACCGAGCTATTGGCAAGAATTTGCTGTTTGCAGCTCAGGCAAACGGCCTCACCCGAAGTCAGGCCTCGGTTCCCCATGCACCAAGCAGGGATGGGATTTCCCAGCTGGCCAGCAGCGCTGGAGGACCAAGATAGCAGGGATGGACTCGAGCAAGGCTGAAGGTCTTGGCTGTGATGCTGAGACACTGCAGCAAGTAAAGGGGGAAAAATTCCCTGCTGCAGCATCTCCCAACGCTGCCGGGTCCTCACAGAGCATGGGGATGGCTAGGAGAGCACTAGGGAGAGATGGAGCTGGGGGGAAACCTTTCCCTAAGAGGTGGCTGCTGGCTGCCTCCAGTGTCAGAGAGGGACACAGACCTGTCTTGTCGTGGACAATGGAGAAGAGGATGCGCTTGGATGAGTGCACGTTCTGGATGAGGGGACCTCCGGAGACTGACAATTTCTGTCCTGGACAAGAGGGGAGACAAGGAGAAAGGGCTGATGAGAGCTTGACCTATGCTCTGGGCATCCAAACGAACCGAGTGCTGTCCTCAACAGTGACGCTGACCCGACCCTGCCATCTCTCCTCTGTGCACCCTGGCCTGTAACAACCCAGTGGGGTCCTGGTCAGAACAAGCCCCCACTGTTCCCCCCAGCTGCCCCTCCGGCCTTGTGGTGCAGCACCCCGCATTTTGAGGCAAAAATGGAGGCACCCAGGAAAGGCCCAGGGTGGTGCAATATGGTGTGAGTTCTGCTCATCTCCAAACAGGCCAAGCTTTGCACCGCTTTTCATCCGAGGACTGCCAAAACACCCAGGCCTGTCCACTGTCAGCGCCGGGGGAGGGGGGGAGCTTTGCACCAGGCCCTCGTCTGAGAGCAAACTCCAGGCTATTACCACAGCAGTCGCTGTACTCCTGTGAGGAAGGCACCTTCAGCTCTCCCGCAGGCCTGGGCAGCAGTGCCTCACTGGCCACGTTGGGCCCAGAAGACACCTCTTGCTTTAGGTCGACGGCCATCGGGGTTGGCAACGAGACACCATACAAGAAGTTGGTGATGGCAACGGCAGAGGGGGTGTCCTGGCCAGCGGGTTTGGCCATGGGTCCATTGGCACCAGAGTCTCGGCCGCTCTTGGAGGTGAGGGAGGGACAAGTCAACTCCACGCTGGGGTTCAGCTCTCGGCTGGGCTCATCTGCTGACCTGAGGAGAAGAAAGGGAGGAGAGGAGGTATAAAAACTAAGTTCCTTTGGGTCTGTGGCACTGCTAAGCCAGGACAAGCAAGGATGTGGAGGGGAAAGGAGAGCTGTGCCCAGGAGGGTGGGACAGGCTGCAGAAACTACAGAAACCAACCCAACCTCTTCTAGTTTCTCCAGGCACCTGCACCATTTTCTTCTTCTTTAAGTGGAGCAGGCTGGTCTTAGGGTAGTTAAATATGTTGACACTAGCTAGGGCAATGCTGCCTAGCTCCACAGCCAGGTGTGTTTCAGGAGTAAAACACTTTGTGTGACCATGACCAACTGACTCCATTGCACGTCCCAGCCCCCAGAATCCACGGCACATTCGAGGAGGACCTCAGTCAGCCCAGGGATGAGCTTCAGCCCGAGGAAGCCCATGTGCTTCACATGAGACAGGCGGCCATGAGCTCACAGACAGCTTGAATCCTGCATGTCCTACTTTTAGCTGTCTCAGCCTGGTTTTCCAGAAGTGCCAAGCCTTCAGAGAAGGTATTCAGTAGCACTCAGCATTTCTCTGAACAGATCCGATGCACTGCAAATGGAGAGGAAACGCACACAAAACCACCAAGCCCCTTGCAGAAACATGGCCAAAATGGGGACCTTGCCCCAGCACAGTCCCCTGCCTTCCTCCTCATTTGGTGTTAAAAACCCCATTTCAGCCTAGCATGAACATGGCATTTACACTGGAAATCTCTCTGAAGACAGAAAAGCACTTAGCTTACCACAGTGGAAATTTTGGTGGGGACACATAAAGCAATGTAGTTAATGTGCACATATATGTGTGCTTCTTATTATGAGTCTGAAATGTCTCAAGCCACCTGACATCAATGAACCTGTGTGCAAGGCTGGGTTTGGCACGGCTGGACCCAGGTTTCTGGGTCTGAGGGAGAACCTGGGACGTGGGAGCGACCCTCCTGCCTGCTCCACACAAGATCTCTGCCATTCACTGGTGTTATGAAAGTGCCATCCCGAGGGCTCGCTGCCCTCCCACCCCTTGAGCATCCCCAAAATTACCTTTTTAGCCTGAAGCGGATACTGTGGCTGTGCTCTAGGATGGCCATCAGGGACTTCGTGTCGTACTCCATGGGTTTCTTAAAGCTGATCCCCTCGGGCAAGCCAGCCACTGCCAGCAAGCCCGGCTCTTTAAGGAACCTCTCATATGGCAAAGGGACCACGCTGCTCTTCCCCACAGCTTCACCTGGGGAGGGGGCAGAGTTACACACCGACACACACCCCAGTGACCCCCACCACAGCTGAGCTGGGCTGGAGGAGTAAATGCAAGAGCAGGAGATCCCAACGGAAATGTTAGGAGAAGAAAACCGCTTCCTACCACTTGGCATGCAAGGCCCTGCAAGCCCTTTCTGAAAGCACTAATTAATAAAAAAAGCTCACAAAAGCCAATAAGCAGATGTCTCATCTTTCGGGTTGCACGGTAAAATCCTCAGTTGGGGTCACTT